GAAGTTTTTAAGAAGATGCTGGACAACCATTTGTCTGAAGTGGTGTAGGGTTTCCTGCCTGAGCAGGGGGTTGGACTAGATGACCTCCAAGGTCCCTTCCGACTCCGTTATTCTATGATCTATGTTCTAACTGAAGGATGACCTTTTCTGAACCAGTTCAAAGTCACACACATAGAAACGATACAACATCAGAAGTGAATACACTGATACTTTGATACTTTGATACAGTGATACTGTAAAACTACAACAAGGATTTGTTAAAGTGGTGGGCTAAGGCATGCATTAAAACATTGTATCTGATTACCATTAAGCGATAAATAAAGGGCAGTGGGAAGTAGCTGTAGCAATAAAATGTAGCCGTAAAAAAGGTAATTTCTTAAGTAACGTAAACATTAAAAGTAACACTGAGTAAAAGGCTTGGAGAAATAAAATAGGCACCCTCTAATTTCTCTGCTTTGAGCTTCTTTTCAGCCTGGAGAGAAAGAGAAAAGAATTGCAACTAAATTCTTGTTTTCGTTGATTATTAAATCAGTGTCAGCTCTTGGCAGCCACACACAGATAGATTTCTCCAGGAGAGCCTGTCCTCAACGTGGAACTTTAGGTCTTCTAAGGATGTGCCTATCGCCATGTAACTAAGACCATCCGCTTTGCTGGTTGTCCTCCTCCTCCTCCTCCTCCTCCTCCTCCTCCTCCTCTTCTCCTCCTCCTCCTCCTCCTCCTCCTCCTCCTCTTCTCCTCCTCCTCCTCCTTCTCCTCGTCCTCCTCCTCCTCCTCTTCTCCTCCTCCTCCTCCTCCTCTCCTCGTCCTCCTCTCCTCCTCCTCCTCCTCCTCTCCTCCTCTTCTCCTCCTCCTCGTCCTCCTCTTTTCCTCCTCCTTCTCTCCACAAACCGCACTCCCTTCCAGCAATGTTTAACATATTACAATATTGAGTTTAGAGAAATAATGTGAATGTGAACGATGTGGCAAATGGCGAATGATGTTGCAGAGATGTTTAACACCAGACAATACACGGCATAATGAAAGATAAACTGTTTATCTTTGTAATTGAAAAATATATATAAAAAAACCTTTTTATTAAAAAAACTAACCACCAGAATGGGGGAATGTGGGGCTTCCTCTCACCAAGTGAAGCTCTGGTCCCTGTTAAACCATCCTTGGGTCTCCTCAAGCTGTAGGGTTCAACAGGTAGGGTGCCAAATTCTAGAAGCCCATTAGATGTGGACAAGCAAATCCCACAAAGCTTAACTCTTGACTGCCCCCTCGTGGTCACCCATATTTTTTGCAGCTCAAGCTAGGCTCTATCAATCCATAATCGGAGGCTCTTATGACTGCAAGACTGTGACTTTGTTGCTTTTTTCCTTACGATTTATATTGACTGTTTCCTAGTATGATTCAATTGCTTATTTGTACCCTATGAGTATCATTAAGTGTTGTACCTTATGATTCTTGACAAATTGTATCTTCTCTTTTTATGTACACTGAGAGCATATGCACCAAAGACAAATTCCTTGTGTGTCCAATCACACTTGGCCAAGAAAATTTTTTATCTATCTATCTATCTATCTATCTATCTATCTATCTATCTATCTATCTATCTATCTATCTATCTATTGTATCTATCTATTGTATCTACTCTATCTCTATCATGTATTGTATCTATCTATTGTATCTATCTATTGTATCTATCTCTATCTATTCTATCTATTGTATCTATGTATCCATCTCTATGTATCTCTCTCTCTCTCTCTCTCTGGGCTGTATAAACAGAGGGATAGAATCAAGATCAGGTGAAGTGTTAAGACCACTTTATAATCCGTTAGTAAGGCCACACTTGGAATATTGCATCCAGTTTTGGTCACCACAATGTAAATAAGATCTGGAGACTCTGGAAAGAGTGCAGAGAAGAGCAACCAAGATGATGAGGGGACTGGAGGCTAAAACATATAGAGAATGGTTGCAGGAACTGGATATGTCTAATTAATGAAGAGAAGGACTAGGGGAGACATGAAATCAGCCTTCCAATATCTCAGGGGCTGCCACAAAGAAGAGGGAGTCAAGCTATTCTCCAAAGCACCTGAGGGCAGGACAAGAAGCAATGGATGGAAACTAATCAAGGAGAGAAGCAATTTAGAACTAAGGAGGAATTTCCTGACAGTGAGAACAATTAACCAGTGGAACAACTTGCCTCCAGAAGTTGTGAATGCTCCAACACTGGAAGTTTTTAAGAAGAGATAGACAACCATTTGTCTGAAGTGGTGTAGGGTTTCCTCTGCCTAAGCAGGGGGTTGGACTAGAAGACCTCCAAGGTCCCTTCCAACTCTGTTTATTCTATTTCTATTCTACATTCTACATTCTACATTCTACATTCTACTCTACTCTACTCTACTTTCTATATTCTATATTCTGTTAAGGATATTGTTGTTGTGTTACCAACCAGCAGAGTGTAGAGCACAGAGAAACGTTGCTGAGAGCAATGAATGTGCAAACTGGTTTATCAAAAGTTTACTTTATAGTGAAAAAACAATCACATAGTCTTTAAATCAATCCAAGTCTTTGCCAGTAAAATCAGTCCAGTGATACAAAAATCTTCCTACCACACAAAGAGTAGTTGGTTAGAATAACAAACTCACTCTGGTTCACAAACCACGATGGTAGCAAATCCATCCAACGATGATAGCACAATGAATAGCAACTCCACACACTCTGGTAGCTTATCATCAACTGAATACGTCACAGTACCTTTCTTAAATACGTTCCCAACTAATTACAGCATGACTCAGCATTACAATGAATCATCAGTAAAACTTTAAAGTCACACAATACATATTCATATTAAAGTTACAGAACACATATATCGCCTGGACAACTTGTTAGGCTCAAACCATATCCTAACATATTCTATTCTATTCTATTCTATTCTATTCTATTCTATTCTATTCTATTCTATTCTATTCTATTCTATTCTAATTCTTCCATTCCACTTTCTATTTCCTTTTCTATTTCCTTTTCCATTTTCTATTCTATTCTATTCTATTCTATTCTATTCTATTCTATTCTATTCTAATTCTTCCATTCCACTTTCTATTTCCTTTTCTATTTCCTTTTCTATTTCCTATTCTATTCTATTCTATTCTATTCTATTCTATTCTATTCTATTCTATTCTAATTCTTCCATTCCACTTTCTATTTCCTTTTCTATTTCCTATTCTATTCTATTCTATTCTATTCTATTCTATTCTATTCTATTCTTCCATTCCACTTTTTATTTCCTTTTCTATTTCCTTTTCTATTTCCTATTCTATTCTATTCTATTCTATTCTATTCTAATTCTTCCATTCCACTTTTTATTTCCTTTTCTATTTCCTTTTCTATTTCCTATTCTATTCTATTCTATTCTATTCTATTCTATTCTATTCTATTCTATTCTAATTCTTCCATTCCACTTTTTATTTCCTTTTCTATTTCCTTTTCTATTTCCTATTCAATTCAATTCAATTCTATTCTATTCTATTCTATTCTATTCTATTCTATTCTATTCTTCCATTCCACTTTTTATTTCCTTTTCTATTTCCTTTTCTATTTCCTATTCTATTCTATTCTATTCTATTCTATTCTATTCTATTCTAATTCTTCCATTCCACTTTCTATTTCCTTTTCTATTTCCTTTTCTATTCTATTCTATTCTATTCTATTCTATTCTTCCATTCCACTTTTTATTTCCTTTTCTATTTCCTTTTCTATTTCCTATTCTATTCTATTCTATTCTATTCTAATTCTTCCATTCCACTTTTTATTTCCTTTTCTATTTCCTTTTCTATTTCCTATTCTATTCTATTCTATTCTATTCTATTCTATTCTATTCTATTCTATTCTAATTCTTCCATTCCACTTTTTATTTCCTTTTCTATTTCCTTTTCTATTTCCTATTCAATTCTATTCTATTCTATTCTATTCTATTCTATTCTATTCTATTCTATTCTATTCTATTCTTCCATTCCACTTTTTATTTCCTTTTCTATTTCCTTTTCTATTTCCTATTCTATTCTATTCTATTCTATTCTATTCTATTCTAATTCTTCCATTCCACTTTTTATTTCCTTTTCTATTTCCTTTTCTATTTCCTATTCAATTCAATTCTATTCTATTCTATTCTATTCTATTCTATTCTATTCTATTCTGTTCTATTCTATTCTAATTCTTCCATTCCACTTTCTATTTCCTTTTCTATTTCCTATTCTATTCTATTCTATTCTATTCTATTCTATTCTATTCTATTCTATTCTATTCTATTCTATTCTATTCTACTCTACTCTACTCTACTCTACTCTACTCTACTCTACTCTACTCTACTCTCTCTTTCCATCTATGTCTTTATTTAAACGAATTTATATAAATCCGTGCAGGCAACGCCTTAAAAGATCTAAATTCATTTAGCGTAAGCAAACAAATAAACAAACAAATCAAAAGCGAAACCACTTTCTCCCTCCCTGCCTCCCTCCCGCCTCTCCTGGCATCCAGGAAGGACTCCATCCTGGGCGTCTTTTCGCAGAGGTTAAAAAAAAAACCCCAAAAATCCACAACTCCCATCATGCCTGGCGAGAGGCGACGTTCACCGGGAAGGGAGGGAACAGATGGGGAGAGGGGAGGGGAGGGGGTGTAGCAGCCTCCCCTTCTTTGCGCAGGCGCGCAGCACGGAAGAGAAAGAGAGGAGGAGAGGAGGAGGGAGGGGGGGTGTTTGGGGGAGAAACGACAAAAGGTTGGTGCGGCTACGACAGAGGAAAAGCGGGCAGGTAGGGAGGGGTCCTGCTTTGCAGGGCAGGGCCGGTGGGGGATGGTGTGGGGGGGGGGGAGAGGGCAGGGGGAAGGAAGTGGGTGACCTCATGCAACCCCCCCATCTCATCCCCCCCCCGCGATCGCCTTCTGGAGAGGGGGAGGGGGTTTCCCACCCACCCAAAAAGCAGCAGAAATTCCTTTTTGCAAAAGACTTGCAGGGGTTGGAAGATCTCTCTCTCTCTCTCTCTCTCTCTCTCTCTCTCTCTCTCTCCCTGCACCCCAGGAATCTGATCTTGCAAAGCCCCCCCCCTCCTTTTTTATATATTCCCTTCCCCCGCCCCCCATCCCGGCTGGCAAAGGTGGAGCGACCCCTTCCTTGACTCCCTCCTGCACCGATCCCTTGGGGAAGCCAACCAGACATCCTTGCAAAGATCAGACGGAGGGACGGCAAATGCGGGGGCCCCCCTACCCAATAAGGAGCCAAAGGCATCTTTCTCTCTCTTTCCCCCTCCCCAGCAAAATTTTTCAAAGGCAATCCGTCGGTGAGGAGTTTGGGGGGATACAATGGACTCCCCACCACCCCTTGATAATGCAAAGTCGTCACCCCCCCCCCCTTTCAAAGGGGCTGGGGGATTGAATTCTGGATTGATGGCATGCTTTGGCACCCTCAAAAGAAATCCTGCTAGAAGGATCCCTTCCGAATGCACAAATATATGCATTTAAATATATATATATATAATATATTTATATATATATATATTAAATATATTTATAAATAAATATATATATAAATTATAAATATAAATATATTTATATTTAAATGCATATATTTATGCATTTACTATATATATATATATATATATATATATATAGTAAATGCATAAATATAATTATATATAAATATAAATATAATAAATATAAATATAAATATATATATATATATAAATATAATAAATATAAATATATATATATATATATATATTTATTATATTTATATATATATATATATATATATATATTTATTATATTTATATATATATATATATATATATATATTTATATTTATTATATTTATATATATATATATATATATATATATATATATATATATTTATATTTATTATATTTATATATATATATATATAGTAAATGCATAAATATATGCATTTAAATATAAATATATTTATATTTATAATTTATATATATATTTATTTATAAATATATTTAATATATATATATATATAAATATATAATATATATATATATATATATATAGTAAATATATATAGGAGCCTGGATAGCCCAGCAGACTAATGCATTGTAATTTAACTCCAGCAATTAGTAACTTCGAATCTCGCCAGGCTCAAGGTTGACTCAGCCTTCCATCCTTTCTAAGGTAGGTAAATTGAGGACCCAGATTGTGGGGGCAATAAGCTGACTTTGTAAAAATATACAAAAGTATGAAGGCTATTGCTTAACGCATTGTAAGCCGCCCTGAGTCTCCGGAGAAGGGCGGCATATAAATCAAATTTTTTAAAAAAATGCATATATGCATTTAAATATAAATATATATATTCGAAATGCATAAATGCATGCATTTAAATATAAATATATGTGTTCGAAATGCACAAATGCATGCATTTAAATATAAATATATATGTTCGAAATGCACAAATGCATGCATTTAAATATAAATATATATATATTCGACATGCATAAATATATAAACATAAATATGGATCTGCATGAATAAATGCAGATTTTCTTCTGGTGATAGCATCTGGGTGGGTTTGCCTAGGGTGGAAGTCGATCTCTGCAGGCCTCGTCAGAAGCCAGTGGCTCTCAAGACCTCAGAAATCCACGCGGATCTCCCAAAAAAAAAATAAGTAGCATGGTGTTTAAGGGGGAAAAAAACCCCCAACATTCAATTTTACAATTACTGCGAGTTCGAATCTCACCAGGCTCAAGGTTGACTCAGCCTTCCATCCTTCCGAGGTAGGTAAAATGAGGACCCGGTTTGTGGGGGCAATAAGCTGACTTTGTATAAAATAGAACACCGCTTGATGGGGGGCAAAAAAGCCCTACTAAGCAGGTATATACAAAAGTATGAAGGCTATTGCTTAAAAGCATTGTAAGCCACCCTGAGTCTCTGGAGAAAGGCGGCATATAAATTAAACTAATAAATAAATAAATAATAAAATTTTGGAGAATGTCTGTCAAAGATCTTTCCAATAAAGGAGAATGTTTGTAGCTTGGGATCGAAATGAGGGGTTCTTTGGTGCTCTCTCTGAGCTTGTGGGGTTTCCTTGCAGGCGTTTTATGACCCATTTAGGTAACATCATCAGTGCTAGAAGGAGGTGGGGCTTGGAGGAGTAGGAGGACTGTGGGGTCCTTGGTGCGCTCTGAGCTTGGGGGTTTCCGTGCAGGCGTTTCATTACCCAACCACATACCATCATCAGTACCAGAGAAGAGGGTGGGTTGTGTGGAGTGGAACAGGAGAAGGAGGGAGACTGTGTGTGTGTGTTTGGGGGGGGGGGTCCTTGGTGCTTTCTGAGCTGGGTTGTTTTCTTGCAGACGTTTCATTACCCAATTAGGTAACATCATCAGTGCTAGAAGAGAATGGGGTTTGCTCTCTCTCTCTCTCTCTCTCCCTTTTAGCACTGATGATTTATTTATTTTATTTTTTATTTTATTTCGAATTTATACACCGCACCTTCTCCCGAGGGACTCAGGGCGGTGTACAGCCAGATAAAAACATACAATGCAAACACTAAAAACAATTAAAAAGATATATATATATTAATTTGGCCCCAATTTAAAATAACAAACCAATTAAAAAATATTTAAAAAATATATTAAGCCAGCCCGGCTTGCTGAAAAAAAGAAAGTTTTAAGGGCACGGCGGAAGACACCGAGGTACCGATGTTACTTAGTTGGGCAATGAAATGTCTGCAAGAAAACAAGCCAGCTCAGAATACAGCAAGGACCCCACAATCCTCCTCTTTTCCTCCTCCTCCTCCTCCCTACCATACCCCACTCCCTTCTAGCACTGATGATGTAACCTAGTTGGGTCATGAGACGCCTGCAAGAAAACAAGCCAGCTCAGAGAGCACCAAGGACCCCACACTCCTCCTCCTCCTCCTCCTCCTTTCTTCCTTTCTCCTTCTCCTCCTTTCTTCCTTTCTCCTTCCCTTCCCCTTCTCCCCTTTCTCCATCCCTCCTCCTCCTTTTCTTCTACATTCTTCCTTCTTCTCCTCCTTCTTTCCCTGCTCCCTGCTCCCTCCTCCATCTTCTATTTTCCTATCTTCTTCCATTTTCCCCTCTTCCATGTCTTCCTCCTCCTCCTCCTCCTTCTCCTCCTCTCCACAAACACCCACTCCCTTCTAGCACTGATGATGTAACCTGGTTGGGTCATGAAACATCTGCAAGAAAACCACCAAGCTCAGAGAGCACTAAGGACCCCACAATGCTTCTCCTCCTCCTCCTCCTCCTCCCCTCCTCCTCTTCCTCCTCCTCCTCCTCCTCTCCACAAACACCCACTCCCTTCTAGCACTGATGATGTAACCTGGTTGGGTCATGAAACGCCTGCAAGAAAACCACCAAGCTCAGAGAGCACTAAGGACCCCACAATGCTTCTCCTCCTCCTCCTCCTCCTCCTCCTCCTCCTCCTCCTCCTCTCCCACAAACACCCACTCCCTTCTAGCACTGATGATGTAACCTAGTTGGGTCATGAAACGCCTGCAAGAAAACCACCAAGCTCAGAGAGCACCAAGGACCCCTCAAAGCTGACCACTCCATCGTCCTGGCTTCGTCCTTGTGGACCAAGCCGTTTTGAACGTTGAGGACCAAGGCCTCCAAACTTCAGCTGGGACCCGTGAAGGTTTGAAGCACGGCTACACAACAGCCCTTCCCAACCTCACGCTGCTTCCAATAACTGCAAATCCGGGTCTTCGGTCAATAAAAAACATGTAATTCCTTCCCGATAATCTTTCCAGGATTTTGAAGGGGTGATGTTTGGCAGCGGCGGACAGGGTGGGGTGGGGTGGGGGGCACGTAGGGGAGAAAAAATGACTTGCACCACCGTTGGCTCGCATCAAACCATTGCAATTACATTGGGGGTGGGTGAGGGGTGCAACATCCTGTGTAAGTAGGGCAGGCATCTGCGGTGCCTTGGATGGAAGGAAAACAAGCGGGGGGTGGGGATGGAGGAAAAGGAAGGAAAGATGCCTTCAGCCAGGGGATGGGCTTCAAAAATTTTAGCAAGGGGTTCTCTGCCTGGTTGCTGGGTGGGAGTGGCTATGGTGGGTGTGGCCTAGTCGGCCTCCGGCAGCACAGTGGTGGTGGTGGGGGGGCGTTTTTGCCCTCCCTGGGCTCTGGAGGCTTTCCTCGAGCCTCCGGGAGGGTGAAAACGGCCTCCCCAGGCTTTGGAGGCCCTTTCCGAACTTCCGGAAGGCCCGTTTTTCACCCTCCCCGAGCCTCTGCGCGCACCCTGCACTTACCTGCATTGAAAACGGGCCGCGTGGGGATTCCTGGGAGGGGAGGGGCGGTGTGGGCGGGGCCAGGCAGGGGTGGGATTTGAGGGTTCTCCGAACTGCACAGAATTTTAGCTAGAGGTTCTCCCGAACCTACTCTACTCTAATTCTATTCTATTCTATTCTATTCTATTCTATTCTATTCTATTCTATTCTATTCTATTATTCTCTTCTCTTCTCTTCTCTTCTCTTCTCTTCTCTTCTCTTCTCTTCTCTTCTCTTCTCTTCTCTTCTCTTCCCTTCCCTTCCCTTCCCTTCCCTTCCCTTCCCTTCCCTTCCATTCCATTCCATATTTTCTATTCTATTCTATTCTATTCTATTCTATTCTATTCTATTCTATTCTATTCTATTCTATTCTATTCTATTCTATTATTCTCTTCTCTTCTCTTCTCTTCTCTTCTCTTCTCTTCTCTTCTCTTCTCTTCTCTTCCCTTCCCTTCCCTTCCCTTCCCTTCCCTTCCCTTCCCTTCCCTTCCCTTCCATTCCATATTTTCTATTCTATTCTATTCTATTCTATTCTATTCCATTCCATTCCAGATTTTCTATTCTATTCTATTCCATTCCATTCCATATTTTCTATTCTATTCTATTCTATTCTATTCTATTCTATTCTATTCTATTCTATTCTATTCTATTCTATTCTATTCTATTCTATTCTATTCTATTTCTATTCCATTCGATTCCATTCCAGATTTTCTATTCTATTCTGTTCTATTCCATTCCATATTTTCTATTCTATTCCATTCCATTCCATTCCATTCCCCATCCCATCCCCATTCCATGTTCCGTTCCATCCCAGAATAAAATATCCACACCCACAAACACGCATACATATATGACTCTAAATTAGACTCCAACTAAAAACGCTGTAGCTACCATTGAAGCTCATGACGGTGTTCCAAGGAAAGCACAAATAATTAAATTCTGACCAACTGGATTTCCTTAATTTTTCACACCCCCAGTGATGAATGACCGTGTTATTTGGGAAACATGGGATGATGATGATGGTGATGATATTATTATTATTATTATTATTATTATTATTATTATTATTATTATTATTATTGCCTTTCTTAATAAACCTTCTAAACTTCCACCCTTGGGTTTTAGAAGAAGCCACTAGAGCAAATGTCCATTTGCTCTTTTTTGAACTTTTCTGCCGGGAAGTACTTGTGCGAGTTTTCACACCTTTTGTTGTTGTTGTTGTTAGTTGCAAAGTTGTGTCCAACCCATCACGACCCCATGGACCACGTTCCTCCAGGCCTTCCTGTCCTCTACCATCCTCCGGAGTCCATTTAAGCTCACGACGACTGCTTCAGTGATTCCATCCAGCCACCTCGTTCTCTGCCGTCCCCTCCTTCTTTTGCCCTCCATCGTTCCCAGCATTAGGCTCTTCTCCAGGGAGTCCTTCCTTCTTGTTAGGTGGGCAAAGTATTTGATTTCACACCTTACTTTCCCCAAACTGCAAATTTCTTGCAAGATTGTGAGTTTTGCACGGGAGAAAATCCAGCTGTCCTTTGTTTTTCCTCTTCTTCTCCTTGGAGGTCGTTCCATGTTTTAATCAGGTGCTAAAATATCTGTCTAAGTTGCTGGGTGAGGCTTCAAATCTAATGATTAGAAGACGAAGTGAAGCAATGGGTTTTCTCCTTCCGGAGGAGGGATGTTCAAGAAATCACCAAAACTTTTCTTGACATGCTTAAGTCTTGCACCTTCGTTGCTTTAGCAGGTGTGATGCACCACATGACTTTTGGATGTCCTTGAGATGTTTTTTTGTTAGTGGTCTTCTACTCAGCAGGCTTGGGATCCATCTGTTAAATTCACCACTAACTGCCAGAAAGAAGTGAACATAATTCATTCATTCTCTCCTCTCTCTTTCTTCTGTCTCTCCTCTCTTTCTTCTCTCTCACTCTCCTCTCTTTCCTCTCTCTCTCTCACCTCTCTTTCTTCTCTCTCTCCTCTCTCTTTCTTCTGTCTCTCTCTCTCTCTCTCTCTCTCTTGTTCTCTCTCTCTCCTGTCTCTCTCCTTTTTCCTCTCTCTCTCTCCTCTCTCTTTCTTCTGTCTCTCTCTCTCTCTCTTGTTCTCTCTCTCTCTCTCCTGTCTCTCTCCTCTCTTTCCTCTCTCTCTCTCTCTTCTCTTTCTTCTCTCTCTCTCTCCTCTCTTTCTTCTGTCTCTCTCTTGTTCTCTCTCTCCTCTCTCCTCTTTCTTCTCTCTCTCTTCTGTCTCTCTCCTCTTTCGTTTCTCTCCTCTCTCTCTCTGTCTGTCTCTCTCTCCTCTCTTTCTTCTCTCTCTCTCTCTCTCTCTCTCTCTCTCTCTAACACACACACACACAGAGTGAAATTGACCTCAATCATTCCAGCCTTATAGAAGGATTTTAAAATTTGGGTGTCCATCAGGCTTGGCGATCCAAGGAAGTATGGAGCCCATTGAATGGTCATATTGTTAAGAGTGCCTTCTACTCTCTCTGCCTGATTGAATTTCACAGGTAGTTAGCAGAATACTACAGCAATAGCGCTTAGACTTATATACCGCTTCATCGTGCTTTTACAGCCCTCTCTAAGTGGTTTACAGAGTCAGCCTCTTGCCCCCAACAATCTGGGCCCTCCCTGTTCAAACAGGAGCCTTATTTCATTTCAGACAAATTGTCAAGTTTCGAGACACAAATGGCTGTCCAGTCTCTTCTTAAAAACCTCCATTCTTTGAGTACCCACAACTTCTGGAGGCAAGTTGTTCCACTGATTGATTGTTCTCACTGTCAGGAAATTCCTCCTTTGTTCTAAGTTGCTTCTCTCCTTGATAAGTGTCCACCCATTGCTTCTTGTCCTGCCTTCAGATGCTTTGGAGAACAGCTCGACTCCCTCTTCTTTGGGGCAGCCCCTGTGATATTGGAACGCTGCTATCATGTCACCCCTCAAGTTTTAATGGTTTTTAAGATAGAAGATTCTGGTTTTACTTGTGTTTTAACTCTGTTCGTAATCCAGCATTTCCTACAAGTGAAATGAGGGGCTACATAAATTGATTAAATAAAGAAGACCTGCTTGTTTTTCTTTTGAGAGGTCCTTGGTGCTCTCTGAGCTTGGTTTTTTTTTTTTTTTTAATTTGATTTATATGCCGCCCTTCTCCGAAGACTCAGGGCGGCTTACAATGTGCTCAGCAATAGCCTTCATCCTTTTGTATATTTATACAAAGTCAGCTTATTGCCCCCACAAACTGGGTCCTCAATTTACCTACCTTAGAAAGGATGGAAGGCTGAGTCAACCTTGAGCCTTGGCGAGATTCGAACCCTGCAGTAATTGCAGGCAGCTGGTCTTCTTGCAGACATTTCATGACCCAACTAGGTAACCTCATCAGTTCTAGAAGAACATAGGGTGTATGGAGTAGAGGAGGAAGAAGAGGAGGACTGTGAGGTCCTTGGCACTTTCTCAGCTTGGTTTTTTTCTTGCAGTCGTTTCATGACCCAAACTAGGTAACATCATGAGTGCACTGATGATCATCCTTGGTCATTACCCAACACTGATGATGGTACTTAGTTGGGTCATGAAACGTCTGCAAAAAAAAAGTACCAAGCTCAGAGAGCACCAAGGATTCCTCATTTGAAATTTTATTTCTCTCTCTCTCTCTTTTTCTTTTTCCAAACAGGCCAGAAGAATCTGGGGAATCGATGCAACCCATCTCATCTTGGTTCCACCACCATGGCTGCTGCCCCTCAGCTCAACTCGGACGCCCTCCGCGAAGTTTTGGAGTGCCCCATCTGCATGGAGTGCTTCACCGAAGAGCATCTGCGACCCAAACTGCTCCATTGCGGCCACACGATCTGCAAACAGTGCTCGGAGAAGCTCCTGGCCAGCAGCATCAACGGCATCCGTTGTCCCTTCTGTAGCAAAGTCACCAGGATCGCCAGCCTGGCTCAGCTGACCGACAATCTGACCGTCTTGAAGATCATCGACACAGCGGGGCTGAGCGAGACCGTCGGCGTTCTCATGTGCAAAGCGTGCGGGCGGAGGCTGCCCAAGCACTTCTGCCGGACCTGCAGCCTGGTGTTGTGCGAGCCTTGCAAAGAGTCGGAATGCCTCCACCAACATCACAACGTGGTGGCCATCAAAGAAGCCGCCGACGAGAAGAGGAGGGACTTTGGGGCCAGGCTGGGTCGCCTCCGAGAGCTGATGGGGGACCTTCAGAAGAGGAAGGTGTCTCTCGAAGGGGTTTCGAAGGACCTCCAAGGCCGGTACAAAGCCGTCCTTCAAGAGTACAGCAAAGAAGAGCGTAAGGTCCAAGAAGAGTTGGCCAGGTCGCGGAAGTTCTTCACCGGCTCCCTCTCCGAGGTGGAGAAGGTGAACAGCCAGATCATGGAGGAACAAGCTTACCTCCTCAACATCGCCGAAGTCCAGATCGTCTCGCGCTGCGATTACTTCCTCGCCAAAATCAAACAGGGAGATATCGCCCTTCTGGAAGAGGAAGGCGAAGAGGAGGAACCGGAGTTGATGAACAGCCTTCCCAAAGAGCTGACTTTGCAAGAGGTGGAACTCCTCAAGGTTGGTCATATCGGACCCCTCCAGATAGGACAAGTGGTCAAAAAACCCCGGAGCATCAACGTCGAAGAGACCTTGATGGAGACCACGGCAGAAGCATCGGGGTCCTTCAGAGAGGCGGATCTCCCTGCAGTAGAGGTCAACCCATTGTCCCATTGCTCTTCGCCTGCGAAACCAAGGATGTCCGAGGCCACCTCCAGCATCCAACAGTGCCACTTCCTCAAGAAAATGGGCTCAAAGGGTAACACGCCGGGCACGTTCAACCTGCCAGTCAGCCTTCATGTCACCCCGCAGGGAGAGGTCCTTGTGGCGGACCGGGGAAACTTCCGGATCCAGGTCTTCACCCGGAAGGGTTTTTTGAAGGAAATTCGTCGGAGCCCCAGCGGGATCGACAGTTTTGTGCTCAGCTTCTTGGGGGCCGACCTGCCCAACCTAACTCCCTTGTCGGTCACCATGAACTGCCACGGGCTGATCGGAGTGACCGACAGCTACGACAACTCGATGAAAGTGTACACCATGGACGGGCACTGCGTGGCGTGTCACCGAAGCCAGCTCAGCAAGCCGTGGGGCATCACCGCTTTGCCGTCGGGGCAGTTTGTGGTCACCGACGTCGAAGGAGGCAAGCTGTGGTGCTTCACCGTGGACCGGGGAGTCGGGGTGGTGAAATACACCTGCCTGTGCAGCGCCGTGCGTCCTAAATTTGTCACTTGCGACGCCGAAGGGATCATCTACTTCACTCAGGGGCTGGGCTTGAACCTGGAGAACCGTCAACACGAACATCACCTGGAAGGCGGGTTTTCCATCGGCTCCGTCGGTCCGGATGGACAGCTGGGCCGACAAATCAGCCACTTCTTTTCCGAGAACGAAGATTTCCGCTGTATCGCTGGCATGTGCGTGGACTCGCGGGGGGACCTGATTGTGGCCGACAGCAGCCGCAAAGAAATCTTACATTTCCCCAAAGGCGGCGGCTACAATATCCTTATCCGAGAAGGCCTGACCTGCCCCGTCGGCATAGCTGTCACCCCCAAAGGTCAGTTGTTAGTCCTGGACTGTTGGGATCATTGCATTAAGATTTATAGCTACCACTTGCGAAGGTATTCCACACCTTAAGATGGGAAAACACACACTCATACACACACACACATATCTCTTTGTCCTTCAACCCCTCTCCCATATCAACTCTTCCAAGGTCTGCTGACCGACAATAGTGCCAACAGATTGTGCCATAAATGTAGAAACCGGGGTGACAGTTGCTCCGATATTTAGCGTGTGCATTCTAGAACAAAGCACGTTTCTGTTTGCAAGCGTAGAGTGTGTTGTTTGTTTTGTTTTTTCCTTTTTAACACACAACACACACACAAAATCCTAGCATTAATGACTTTTGGCTAAGGGGAAGCCAGGCCGGCAAGGCGATTATTTGTCCAAATGCAGCCTTGGACTTAACGTTTTAGCTGCAAGGCGATCGGTACAATTGTTGGCGGTGAAATCAATCGGCTGACGGGGGAAAAAAACGGACGTAGAAAATGAGCCAACGTCAGGCCTTCCGCACACCCAGCTTACGAAGACGCTGGATGGATTCGGAAGGTTATTCTCCATCCTTTCCATCTCACTTTTTTTTTTGTGGAAACCCCCCGCTATTTAGAAAGTGATCAACCTTTTGTCCTTTTGCGTCCCCCAAAATCCTTGTTTCGGGTTCTTCTCCGTTCATGTGTGCAAATGCTAAATGCCTGTGTTTGTTTTTTTTTTAAAAAAATCTCAGTAACCTTGGCCAGCTCTCTCACTCCCTACTCTTGGCACCTTTTACTGAAAAGGACAATTGCAACTCCTTACAAGCCAACCCCACCGGATCTCGTCGGAAACATTTTGGCGCAGCTGCAACTTCCCACTAACACTCCGCCTCAAAAGAAACTTCTAGCTGTTGTTTTTAAACGCCTCCAAAGTTTTTTTTTTTATTATTATTATTATGTCCTCCCGTCTTGAGGCCTCTTGTCTGGTGTGAAGTAGGTCTTGTCTGGTTTGATGAAAAGAAAAAAAACAAAACAAAAGAAACTGGAAACTTTTAAAGAGTCTGTAACAAATAATGTTTGTTTAGAGGTGTGGTTTTTTTTCTCTCTCTCTTTGTAATTCATTACTCGGCTATTTTCTGGCTTTTCCGGGGAGGGCAGAGGGAATATTGTTTGAGAAGGTCACTTTTCTAACTGACAGTTTCCCAATTGTGAGAGAAATGGGTGTAAACAAAATCAGATGTGACAAACAATACGTTTAAATCCTACCTACATTCCACACCGTTGCACTGGCTGATGAGTTTCTACTTCAGGCAAAAAAAATCTATGTGTGCCTCGGATGGAGGAAGGGACTTCTCGTCCTATTAAGTCGGATCTCTGCCAAGGACGCTCAAAATTCCTTGCCCCGGCAAGATGCCACCAGCTCTGCCATCCTGCTAGGGTTTTATTTTAAGGCCACACAACCAGTTGGCACAACTTCTAGGCTGGGTGACACGTCTGGGTGAGGATGGCCCAGCTGGGAGAGAGAGATGCCCTTCCGTAGGCCTGGAATGCTACAGAGAGGAGGCACACCAGATTGTAATGTGCCACTAGAAGAGAGTTAGGGTTGTGGTCCGTCAGCAGGCAGCGGAGTCGGACAGTGAGGAGGCTGGGAGGGACATGGGCCAGTCCTGGAGTCTGGGGAAGGCTCGGATGATGGCTCTGCGTCGGAGGCAGAGATGGGGCCAGGGCCATCTGGGAGTGATGTGTGGACTCCGGAGCCTCCAGAGGCTGACAGCAGAAAGGCAGAGGAATAGGAGGAGCCTGTTCCTATGCTTGGAATAGTATAGGGCAGCGATGGCTAATCTTTTTGCCATCGCATGCCAAAAGCGGAGGGGAGCATGGGGGGAGGGGTCGAGCGCGCACGTGATCACACCCATAATTCAATGCACCCCACCCGCTGTGCATGCACGCATGACCCCCCCCCGTGTGACCCCGCTTTGGGCACGGTGGACCCGATAGGCCCATTTTTTTGCCCTCCCCAGTCTCCAGAGGCTTTCTAGGAGTCTGGGGAGGGCGAAAACAGCCTTCCCCACTCCCTTGGAGGCCAGAAACAGCCTGTTTCCCGACTTCCAGTGGGCCCAAAAGGCCCCAAAAATCAGCAGCACACATGCAGGCTGGAGCTGAGCTAGGGCAATGCTCGCGTGCCCACAGATATGACTCCGTGTGCCACAGGTTCGCCATCACGGGTATAGGGTTTCCTGCTTGAGCAGGGGGTTGGACTAGAAGACCTCCAAGGTCCCTTCCAACTCTGTTATTCTGCTCTGTTCTGTGCATAGGGGACACCTCTGGGTATTTAAAACCCCTGACAGTCACTTCTATGTTTTCTAGGAAAGGCAAAAAGAGATCTTACAAGCCATTACAGGTGGAGATCCTTTGAGATCCCTGCAGTCCAGATTTACTACTCTTCACTTGGAAGATGCGATGTAGATTAAAAAAAAAAACAAAAAAAAATTGTATCTTGCACCGCTGGGCATACACCTGTGCACACAGGTAGTCCTTGGCTTATGACCCACAATCCAGCCCAAAGTTTACATCGCTAAGTGAGTTTCGCCCCATTTGAAGACTTTTCTTGCTGTGTTTATTAAGGGAATAGCTACCGTTGTTAAATTAGTAACGTGGTTAAGCGAATCTGGCTTCCCCATTGACTCTTGCAAATATGACCCCAGGACACTGCAACCGTCATAAATATGAGACAGTTGCCAAGGGTCTGAAGGTAACCACGTGGCCATGGGGATGCTACATCGGTCCTAAGTGTGAAAAATGGCCATATGTCATTTTTTTTCCCCCAGTGCCATTTTGCACTGTCACTAAATGAATTATTTATTTTCAAGCTATTAATTATTATAAGCTATTTTCCAAGGCACCCGAAAGCCAGTCGAGGGATAATGGATGGAAACTGATCAAGGAGAGTTTCAACCTGGAAATAAGGAGGAATTTCCTGACAGTGAGAACAATCAACCAATGGAACAGAAGTTGCCTTCGAAGTTGTGGGAGCTTCATCCCTAGAAGCTTTCAAGAAGAACTGGATTACCATTTGTCAGAAATGGGGTAGGGTCTCCTGCTTGGGCGGGGAGGGGGGTTGGACTAGTTGACCTCCAAGGTCCCTTCCAGCTCTATTTTAATTGATTGATTCAACCTAGAAATAAGGAGAAATTTTCTGACAGTGAAAACAATCAACCCATGGAACAGAAGTTGCCTTCAAAAGTTATGGAAGCTTCATCACTGGAAGCTTTCAAGAAGGGACTGGACTGCCATCTCTGTCAGAAATGATGTAGGCTCTCCTGCTTGGGCAGAGGGGAGGGGGGTTGGACTAGATGACCTCCAAGGTCCCTTCCAACTCTGTTAATCTGTAATCTGAACTCTGGTAAGGCATGGACTACCTATGTTCCAGAAGGGGCATCTTGTTTGCCAAGGCTACCTACAAAAGGCAACTTCCATATCGAGAGACGATGGAAATTGGAGATAATTAACTCGAGTGGGAACGCTTTCCTCCAACTGCCACTCTGTTCCAACCTGCTCGTTTCGTAAATAATACATTGAGGACTGTTTACTATGCTTTCCCTCCTACCTCCACCCCCACCCCCCAAAAAAGAGAAATATTGGCTGATGGTTGCAGGCAATGGTGGAATTCAAAAATTTTTTACTACCGGTTCTGTGGGCGTGGCTTGGTGGGCATGGCAGGGGAAGGATACTGCAAAATCTCCATTCCCTCCCCACTCCAGGGGAAAGATACTGCAAAATCTCCATTCCCTCCCACTCCAAGGGAACAATACTGCAAAATCTCCATTCCCACCCCAGGGGAAGGAACCGAGGTGGCACAGTGGTTAGGGTGCAGTACTGCAGCTACTTCAGCTGGCTGCTATTTCAGCAGATCAGCGGATCAAATCTCACCCGGCTCAAGGTTGACTCAGCCTTCCATCCTTCCGAGGTGGGTAAAATGAGGACCCAGATTGTTATTTATTTATTTATTTATTATTTTATTTTATTTTATTTTATTTTATTTTATTTTATTTTATTTTATTTTATTTTATTTTATTTTATTTTATTTTATTTTATTTTATTTTATTTTATTTTATTTTATTTTATTTTATTTTTTTGATTTATATGCCGCCCTTCTCCGGAGACTCAGGGCGGCTTAACAGTGCGTTAAGCAATAGCCTTCATACTTTTGTATATTTTATGTTAGGGGGCAATATGCTATTTAGTATACTGTCTTTGGTGTAAGCAGCCCAGAGTCCTCAAGAGAATGTGCGGCATAGAAATATGAATAATAAAAATAAAATAAAATAATAAAAAATCCCCATTCCCATCCCACTCCAAGGGAACAATACTGCAAAATCTCCATTCCCTCCCCACTCCAGGAGAAGGATACTGCAAAATCTCATTCCCTCCCCACTCTGGGGCCAGCCAGAGGTGGTATTTGCCGGTCCTCCAAACTACTCAAAATTTCCGCTACCGGTTCTCCAGAACCTGTGTTAGAACCTGTTGATTAGCATCCCTGGTTGCAGATAATTCCAGTTCGGCTGAAAAAAAAAAAGCCATGTAGCACCTATAAGTACTTGTCCCGTGCACCATTCTGAATTCCTTTTTTTTTTTTGGAAAGCCATATTTTCATTTAAGAAGATTTAAAATCCACTCTCTTCGGCTGATGGAATGCTCAGCTGCCGGTGTGCCAGCCAAATTGTCACATCGCAGTTGGAGCAATGACTCCGCCATCTGTCTCCTGCTCACTTTGCAAACTGTGTGCATACATACCTATTGCACAGGGAGCCTTTTTTTTAAAAAAAAAAAATCATCCACTTAACCCCTTCTGCAAAGCAAAAAAAGAAAAGAAAAGAAAAGAAAGGAGAAGGGGACTTGCGCTAAAGGATCAAACTCCTGGGAGTAGGCAGAATTAGCCTGCAATACTGCATTCTAACCACTGCACCACCATGGAAGGAAGGAAGGAGGGAGGGAGAAAAGGAGAGAAAGAAGGAAGAAAAGGAAGGAGAAAAGAGGGAGAGAGAAGGAAGGGAAGGATGGAAGAAGCAATATACCACTTCACAGTGCTTTTACAGCCCTCTCTAAGCCGTTTACAGAGTCAGCCTATTGCCCCCAACAATCTGGGTCTTCATTTGACCGACCTCGGAAAGATGAAAGGCCGAGCCAACCTTGAGATGGTCAGGATCGAACTGCTAGCAGTGGGCAGAGTCAGCCTGCAATACTGCATTTCTAACCACTGTGCCACCATGGGAAGGAAGGAGGGAGAAAAGGAGAGAAAGAAGGAAGGAAGAAAAGGAAGGAGAAAAGAGGGAGAGAGAGAAGGGAGGGAAGGAAGGAAGGAAGGAAGGAAGGAGTAACAATAGTACTCAGACTTATATACCGCTTCACAGTGTTTTACAGCCCTCTCTAAGCCGTTTACAGAGTCAGCCTCTTGCCCCCAACAATCTGGGTCCTCATTTGACCGACCTCGGAAAGATGGAAGGCCGAGTCAACCTTGAGATGGTCAGGATCGAACTGCTGGCAGAGGGCAGAGTCAGCCTGCAGTACTGCAGTCTAACCACTGCGCAGGGAGGCAAGAAGGTAGGAAGGAATAGCAAAAGCACTTCGATTTCTATATCGCTTCACAGTGCTTTTACAGCCCTCTCTAAAGTGGTTGACAGAGTCAGCACATTGCCCCCAACAATCCTCATGTTGCCGACCTCGGAAGGCTGGTAAGTCGAGTCGACCTTAAGCCGGTCAGGATCGAACTGCAGGCAGTGGGCAGAGTTAGCCTGCAAGACTGCATTTCTAACCACTGCGCCACCACGGCTCTTACTAGAACCAAATCTTACTTAGACTGCGTGATGTTTGTTTGGATCTGAGGGACCCGTCTTTAGGTGGGCCTGCTCGGGGAATGCTGTGTAACGGAAAAGACGAATAGGCCGTGATTTATCTTTCAGATCCTGATTCACAGCCTTATGGTCTAGGTTGCTCTCTCATTCTCGAACCACTGCGCCAACAGGGCTCTTTAAGAAGTTCGTTCTCTCCTCTGGATGCCAGCCAGCTAGCTAAGC